TATATATATATATCACTCTTTCACACACGCACATACATATTATTATTATACAGTGGTGTTAGACTACCGAACTCGTAATCGTGAGGTTGCGGGTTCGGAGGTTCGAGCCTCAACTAGGTCCGACGTTGTGTTTTTAGGAAAGGCACTTTACATGGATTTCATACTTCACTGTGTCCTTTCGGAGATATACGTTAATGCTGGAGGTCCCGCCTCTTAGATAATCTAACATTGCTGATAGGGGCGTTAAACCTATACCATTTCACCATTATCACACATAGACTGACGTACAAACGCACGCGCACACACACACACATACACACACACACATACACACACACACACACACACACACACACACACAAACACACAATCATGCATTTCAGAACGATGCCAAAGATGCGACACCGTTGTTTTATTTTTAGTGTCTACTTAAGTTTAAAGTAAAACAATGTTCCCCCTCCACTCCTTTCTGCTGTTTCGGTACTCACAAGATACAAAATACGTGAGAGGGGGAAACACATTCCAAATCGACACTCCCAAGTGTAAACGTTTGGTTGTTATGAAAAGGAGACACGAAAAACATTTAGTGCAAACGCAACGAATTTATTGGTTTGGGTATTATTACTTTTGTTAATATGATATATTATATTTTAATGTATATTATACATATTACAAAAAAAATTGTACTTTACGTTTTCACAAATGAATTATTATCATTGTGTATGTTGTCCATACCAAAGTGGTGCTAAAGCGATACTTCAAAGAATAATTCATTGAGAAGTACATTGAGCCATGGCACTAGGTGAGATGAGAGATTGGCTGTTTTGTCTAGACAGCTAAAAGGTTTTTATGCGATGCTACACTGTTCCTATCATAAGTTATTTCTTTATATAATAATCAAATTTCCCAGAATTTGGCATAATAATGTTAAAATAAAACTTAGCGTATTGTACTTTTCTAGCGCAGTCGGGGACAGAAGTTCAAATAAATACATATAGATAGATAGATAGATAGATAGATAGATAGATAGATAGATAGATAGATAGATAGTTTAATGCTAAAGCAAACATTGCGTCTCAATATGAGGAATCGGGTGCTCGTCAGTTTTGAGGAATACGGAATTATTGTAAGACCTTAAAGACTATTATATTTGTGAGGCAGCGTGGTGAAATCAGGCTCTCGTCAATTTTGGGGCATGTAGGGTTATTAGTATCATCTTAAAGCTTGTTCACTTGTCTTTATTTGGATGAAAAAAATATCCATTTTTCTTGAATACAAGTTGAGATATTTGCGAATGAAGAAGGTTGAGGTCACCTGTTTTCAGAGGTAAAATTAATGAGAAATTAGCCGCCAAAGATTAGTTATTTCCTTAGCTTAAGAGTCCGTGGTAACTAAAAATTTACATGTGTTGTGCATTTAATCAACGTTTTAAAGAAATGTCCACACAGAAATGAGTTCTTTAATGGGCATGAACGATGTTGAGCTAAAAAACAAAAATTTGATAAAAATTCACAAACCTGGGGAAAAATGCAAGTTTCTTCACTTTGATTATTTTGACGAGAGCCTGATTCCACCACGCTGCCTCACATTTGTTTGCTTTGCCTTTTATTTTAAGATATTCGTGTACCGAGGATAGAAGTACAGGTGATTGCGATTGAAGGAGGTGGGGGCCGGCTTATGTGAGAGATAAAATTAGCGAGTAAATGGGCGTTAAAGATTGATGACTTCCAAAGCTGTTATGTCTTTGAAAACGGCAAATGTATTTTTTGTATGCCTTTGATCGACATTTTTCAGTAAAATCCACTCAGGCATATGTCTTGAAATGGACATAAAGGGTGTTGAGCTCATTTAGATAATGTCTGTGCAAATTGCCCAATCGGTGGCAAAAGTAGGTTCGTCCGATTTCATTATTTTTACGAGCACCTGATTTCATCAAGATGCCAATGAATTTGGTTTTCTTTAATCAGCTTATGAGGTGCAATCGTGTTTTTCTTCAACGTTTTCACACAATGGGCATGAGTTCGATTCTTGCGTGTGAGGTGTCCTTTTAATTCAGTATCTCTGTCTTTTAGTTGAGACGCTATTTATATTCAGTCCGTTTGGGCGTCACCGAAGCAGCCAGCTGCTCCTTAATATGCTTTGACATTGACTTAGCTATAGTAAAAACAAAAAGGTGCAACTGTCTTTCTTTGCCATCACTAGAAGAGGGAGTAATAGAGAAACACAGTGAGGGAAAGAGAGAAAGAACGCGCGCTTGAAGAGAGAGATATAAATATATACAAGAGAGAGAGAGAGAGAGAGAGAGAGAAAGAGAGAGAGAGAAAGAGAAAGAGAGAGAGAAAGAGAAAGAGAAAGAGAGAGAGAGAGAGGAGAACACATAGAGATATAAACAGGCTCATAGAAGAGGAATGAGAGCTAAAGGTAGGTAGGTAGATATGTAAGCAGGGCTGTAGTTGGACTCACAGAGATATACAGACAGACAGTGAGAGAGAGAGAGAGAGAGAGGAAGAGAGAGAGAGAGAGAGGTAAAGAGAGAGAGGGAGAGAGATGCAGAGAGAGAGAGAGAGAATGGGTGTATTAGAGATAGAGAGAGAGAGAGTGATAGAGTGTGTGCGTGTATGTGAGAGAAATTGCATGTATCTGTGTTTTTGTGTGTGTATGAGAGAGAGAAAGAGAGAAAACAAAGGAAGAAAGAAAGAAGGAATTAAAGTAAGAAACAGAGTGTTAGAGAGACAGAGACGAAGAGAGGCCAAGGAAGAGTGAGACAGAAGGACGGGCATGCGGATATACCAGATAGATAGAAAGATAGCCTACCAGACAGGGATCAAGAGATAAAAATCCCCATTCAGATAAGAACCAAAAATAATTGAAGATGAGATTCAAAGAATAGCGTTTCTGAACAATTACACCGAGATGGACCGTGAAAACATTATGACGTAAGTCAAACTCACATCGCCTGTCCACTCTGGTGGGAATCCATCCTAGCGTTATGTAAGCACCACAAATCTCCATCACCGTATCTTGAGTCCTTCTCCGAACCAGAATCCACCTTCTGTTCTCTCACTCTCTCTCTCTCTCTTTCCCTCTCGAACTGTCGAACTCTCTGAGCTCAGGATGCCCTCCGTCCACGCATGTCCTATTGTTCTAGACACCCACACGTGCCTAGCAGTCCTTTAATACCGAGTTACTGCCCTTTGGGGAAATGACGTCACCAGGAGAGCGGGACTTACTGCGTCGTGCAGTCGGATGCTTTTTCGTCACAGTGTTGTTGTTTTTTTGTTTCGTTTTGTTTTACCATTTCTTAGATTTTTGTGTTTCGTTTTATGTGTATTTTTTTCTGGGCAGGTTTTATGCTTTAATATGTATGCTTGTGTGTGTGGGAGGGATGGAGATGCAGTTCTTATTTTGACTTTAGAACGTTTTGACTTTTTTGAATAACCAAATGACTGTTCAGACTCTAGAGGTAATAACACATCAGCAATCCCCCCACCCCCCCCCCCACCCCCCCCCCCAACCCGTTACCCTGCTCCTGAATATGTTTTACTTTTCTTATTTGTGCTAGACGAAACCCCATTTTCGATAAAGTCTGTATTGTATAGCGATAGCCACTGGTGCTCATTTCACTTGCTTATGAGCTCCCTAACACCGTCCGAGCGATGCACAAATGAATAATTAAGCCGTTGTGTACAGGACAAAATTTCTCAGCTAACGATGTTCTGCCAATGGCGATAGAAGCGTTTAACGTCTGTTATTTGCATGCCCTTAGAGTAGACCTCTCTTTGTTTTATCCGTTCATAAGCCGACAATCTTGACTTAACCCGGAAGCTTTTACAACCCACGAAAAAAAACCAACAAAGCGACGCCAAAAATCGTATTTCAAATTTATGAAACAATAAATGTCTTAGGACGGCTGTAAAGCGCAGAGAGAATGGTGCATTGCTTAGATAATAAAATATGCAACATATACATGCAATTATCATTATCATTAACTGCTGTTCTTGCCGCATGTTGCTAGCATTATGATAATATTATTATGATTGTAATTTTGCAAATCCGCTTGTATGCAACTCGAATCGTGGAGTCATAAACATTACTTAGTCTCAGATAAAAGGCTGATTTTTTAAAATATTATCTTATCGTTGTATTTAAATCATAAGGATTCATACAGAATGTTTCAAGTATTCAAAACAGATGTGTCTTTCTATGCATTTCTTTCTTTTGATAATTGATGAAGATAATTCTCCACTTCTAAAAAAAATGGAAAATTAGAAGAAAAAAAATTGCACTAAAGAAGATTTTTTTTCACAAATATTCAAACATGTTTATGACTTTCTCATTCTGAAAATAAACGTAGGATGAAATTTTGGTTTCTAAACGCAACTGAAACTGAAGATGTGTTAAAAATCAAGTACCAACTTCAGGGAAAGTTTGTTGAATATGACTCACACTATTTTTGGTTCTACTTAGATGTTTGAACAATGCAACAACTATTAAAACAATTGTTACTTTTTCCAAAGCAACTCCTACCTTTGGTGTTTAAAACAAGGTCGTGATGTCTTATGGAAATGAAAAACGGCTCGCAGAAAATCTTCTACACAGCTTGCATTAACAACTAACGAAGTCTTGTTCTTTGCAACAAACAAAATTATCCTTGGATGCTACTAAAGTAAAATTCCTTACTTCCACATCACACACATGTACATACATTACCTTATAATTTTCAGAACTACTGTTTGTAAAAATAAACAATAGACATTATAATATAGATTATTTTTTTGATTGAGTAGGTGTTTTACGGCAATATCGACTCAATTTTGGTCATGTAAGTGCCAGATATAGAGATTATTTAGAACTTGTGCTGCCTGTCATGATCAGTCCATGCTGAGAAGGACGCAATGGACAAACAGAAAGACTGAGTTACTCACTTTTTAAAATCTTCTCTTTCGGGAACCGAATTCAGGTATCGTGCATGCAACTCTGAAGCACCTAAGTACTACCCGACAGACGCCTGTTAGGTTGAATGATATGTTCACTCATAGATTAGCTAAACATTTCAAAACTGTTGTTCATTTAAAGAAAAATATATTATGGCTATACATCTAACACCATAACTAGTGACTGTGGTCTGTAAAGCTGATTTAAAATTGAAAACAAATAATTCCAGAAACTGTAATACGGGCTGGTGCAACCCATAGGAGTTACACCGGAATATTTTGATATAATTATTATTATTATTATTACTGTTATTATTATTATCATCATTATTATGCATAATGATGATAATGATTATTTTTGTTATTATTTTTACTTTTAATAATAATAATAATATTATCATTATCATTATTATTTTTCTATCAAGCTTTTGTAAGGCTACTTCCAATTTCCTAACTATCATTCTGATCACTACATTTAGATAGATATTTTCAGGTAGTTAAGATTTCTAAGTCACTTCTGTTAGATACGTTTAGATTGGAAGTTAAACCTGGAGAGAAAAATGCAGCGCATACGTTTTAATACACAAGATCATTTTATATTTTAAGATTTAACTACTGACCCGAGCCATCCGTACAGTAAAGTGTTGTGAACAAAACTAACTTGTGTTTCGCCCACTCATATGACTTTATGCAGTTGCGAGCGCCGTGAAACCCTATACTAAACAAACAAACACAAGATCATGTTCCCATATTATATAATCACATGACTATTACTATCTTTTAACTGTTATCAAAATTTGATAGTTCCAGTATTCTAACACCACGACGAATCAAATTAATCATTGTCAAAAAGTCAAAATACAGAGAACTTTGAATTATTTAATTTGTTTTACCATCAAAAGCAGTTTGTTTGATTATCTACTTCAGAGAAAAAAACATGCATTGTTTACAAACTAAAGTGTTCCGTTATAAAATATGTTGCCTTTAAAAAAAAAAAAATTACATTATGGTAGCACAGTATTTCAGAGATATCACAGACACATACACACTGGTAGGAACACCACAACTAACACGCTGGCAAACTCTTTGCTTCTTGGTTTTCTATGGACAGTCCAAAAATATGAAATTTCTCGAAACCATTCATTCTCTAACAACCACTTATCTCCACGTAGAACTCATAATTAACCCTTGAAGTTTATCTCAACAATGGTGATCATAATAAGCCTTTTAGAATATCAAGGAGGAGAAGGAAGTTTGTGTTCTCTCGTCTACATCTTCAGAGCTAATTTCTCGGTTCATCAAGTTGGCACCGACCAATTATCACAGTCTGAACAGCATCTTGGGAAAGTTTGTGTAAAAGGTCACCGCAGAGAGAGGCGTGCCTAACATTCGGACTGAACTAGTCAAACAGTTAGAAGTAAGACATACGTTCTAGAATTGTTGTACAAGGAAAAGGGCACATTACAAATTTGCAATTTTGCTTAAGCTAATTGTACACCCAACAAACCACAAATTATGATTCGTTGTATCCGCTGTATCCACTTTTAGAACTTGTGTCTGTCAGTTCACGCTACTAGACCTATCAAATGACGATTAGACATCGACAGTCACTTTAATTTTTTTTAGAAATAAAAAATCCTCCTCGTCAGTTAGAATGTGATAGTTAAAAATAAATATACAATATAGCTGAACAGATATTGTGTATCAGCCATTTCTGTAACGTATTAAGGCCTCCCGCCCACTTGTTACTTTTTGCCGAATCCAGGCACAGCATTGTATGCAAATTAGATATTTTGCTAGCATCACGCAAAGTTTATCGTGCAACACGATTTTCGTACATGTAGGATCTTTTCCCTTGAGTGGAATCTGCAGCCGCTCCTCGATTCACCCAAGAAAATGGATAATTTTGAACCGTAGGCATATTTTTGGTCCCAAATTCATTTAATATTTGCTAGAAATAATTGTTTTACATTCGATTCCATACATTTGAGCTATTCTTAAAAGCAATTGAAGCAATAATTTCGGTCTCAAGGCTCCATGGCCTGGATTTGGACATATCTAGATTTAGGTCAACTCTGTGAAGCGTCAAACCACAGACTCGAGATTCTGCCTGTTTTCGGCAAGCCGCAAGAGCGCACATCATTTTCCGTGCCTGTCATTTGGGCGATGACGTCACGAAAACGCATTGCCTGGAACATGCAAAAAATTATATTGGGTGTCCCACCTAAGCTATTTACCACAGGTCAATATAAAGGTCATTCCTTAGACCAATATAATTTTATGGGATTAAAAACCCCTAAACTAAAACAATGTCTATTGTCAATTCACACAAGTGCCTATGGGCATACTTGTTATAAATAGAGGATAGATAGATAGATAGATAGATAGATAGATAGATAGATAGATAGATAGATAGATAGATAGATAGATAGATAGATAGATAGATAGATAATGTCTCTTTTGGGGAAATCAAGTACATACCCTTACTTTAGTGCGGTCTAGAATATTCTATTGGTGCAGTCTAGAACTTTGTAGAACACCTGGTCTAACAAGCAGAGTCAGTGTAGGGTCACGGTACAGTTCAGCGTGGTTATTGGCCTTTTTATGAGGGGCGTCTGGAACAAGCCAACGACAGGTCAACACTCCCCCGGGGGACCAGTACGTCTTTGTGGCGTCAACGGGTCCTGTGATCGTACAGCAAGGGGATGGACAAAAAAGGGAATTGGAAATGTTGATAAGAAATAATTATATATTACTGGTTAAAGGTGAGAAATTAAGTTATGATGGTATAAGACTATATCCCAGCGTCTATAGTGCGCTTTCCAAGGTCCCTTGCCTTTGCACGCAAAAGATCACCACTTTGATTCCCGGATGGAGAGTTTTTGTAGGAGTATATCGGACCTTCCGATGTATGAGGAGCATTCTCAGAATTATGAGGTAGGAAAGAATAAGAAATGAAGAGCTGTGGGAAAGAACAAGACAAAAGGATATAGAAGTAGAAATAGAACTAAGAAAGTGGGGATGGATGGGACACAACTCAAGAAAGCCCAGCGGAAACATCACAAGACAGTCGCTGCAGTGGAAACCATATTGAGCACGAGGCAGGGGTAGGCCACGGGAAACATGGAGGAGATGTATGGAAAGGGACATGACAGAGATGGAGCTCACTTAGAATGAGCTGGGAAGGATGGCCCAGGACAGAGATAAGGAAGGAATTTGTAT